TCCATCTTGCAATAAAATATATAATGTTCATGTGTGGCAAGTATTGGTTGGCTGCAAGAAAAAACTCTCTTAAGTCTTTTTGCTCTGAGTGTGATTTCATTATAGCTATTAGTAACATGTTTAGTAGTCAAACCAGAAACACAAGGCCATGTTCATGACTCTTCCTGCCGATGTGGAATTCAATGGAGTCTAAGGACAGCTCAAGCAGAAAAAAAGAATTTCTGAGATTTTTCTTTAGGTTTTGTTATTATCCTTTGTCTCTCTCTACCCTGAAAACAAGGCTTAATCAATATATTGTTTATCAGGGCTCTGCAAAAGCTGGGTTGAGTCAACCCACCTTTAACTCATGCAGCAGATGAAGTGATGACTCATAGAAAAATGGAGAAATAATTACACTCAGGGACACTTAAAAAAATAAGAGACAGGCTTAAACTAAGAGATATGTAGTCATCCAACAACTCTTCACATGCTCGACATAGATTGTGCTAAAAGTCAGGCAGGAGAAAAGCAACAGTCCCAATTGATATTAAAAGAGAGGGATTCATAAAGAGTAGCTCTTCCCTGGGGAGGCTGGTCTCTCAGGATCACAGCCACATGCTGGTGAGGAGAGATGCTCTGTCGTTCATAGAGCCAGCAGCTGGCTCCTGTTTCAGAACAGCACTGTCTCTAAGGTAAATTTTGTCTTTGTCCACTTAGTCCAATTTGTATGCCTGGAGCATGTTCCAGGAAATGAGAAAAAAGGAGCCACCATTTTATGGAGTAGTTGGATTTGTAAGTGCTATTCCCTTTTCGTGATAAGTTTAAGAGCATTAATCTAGATTTTACCATACCAAGAAATGACATAAAGCGATTAAAATGGATGGCACAATGAAGACAAAATGACCTCACTGTATTTTCTGGAAAAGAAGTGTCCTCATGAGGTTTTCAAGGAATTTATTATTATTATTATTATTACTATTATTATTATTATTGTCTCTTCTTCTGTCATGATGTATCTACTTTCTGGACTTTTTCACGGGACAGTACTGGATTTGTCTTGAGCTACTAAGCAGCAGATACTCAGAGACTCGAGCTAAGCGCTATTCCTCAATACCTGTGTAGAAGTATCACCACTCCAGCCAAATGGCTCAAAACATAAACTCAGGGCTTCATTTGGTAAAAGGCTTTTTTTTATATATGCTTTATGGTTTCATCTAAGCTTCTGAAAGGCAGAACGTTTCAATGAGGTCCTACAGAAGTTATGAAAACAGCAATAATAATTAGTTTCAGAGGGAATTGTAAATAGCGGTGACCTTTCTGCATTCAGAGTGTTGTCTTCGGATCTAAGAGAGCAAACAGAGTAAATCTGAGTACCTAAGTTGGCACAAAATCCCAGCAGGGTTTGGTGCAGCCCTGGGCAGCTGCCAGCTGGAGATGTCCCCATTGCTGGGACAAGGGAGGCAGGTATGGTGATGGGACACTGGGAAGGGGCGACAGGACACAGCGCACGCAGGAACACATGGAACCTTTTGGGAGCCAAAGTCATGCCAACATTTGTAAAAGCATTCAACATATCTGTAACCCTAGCTGAGAAAAAAATTTAAAAATTCCTCATTCCAGTGAAGAGCAGAAATGTTGCAATGTTGATGGCCTGTAAAAATCTCAGAAACATGGTAAATTGGTATTAATTATCCTAACGAGCAAAGAAATGGACAAAAGCATCCAGATGTTGGGTGAACACTGTGCTCTGTCACAGTTTATTACACTTGTTTAAAAATTCGAAGCTGAAATGAAATGACATGAATCAAATGTGGAAAAGCCTCATCTCTTGAGAAATCCACATAGTACAGTAAAAAAGATTGTTTAATTAAAGGAGACTGGAAACTATCTGAAAAATAAAATAATGTAAATTTTACAGGAAGATCCATGTAAACTGAGTTCACCTCAGCAATCATTAGCTACAAGAAAATCTGTGCAGCAAAGTGGCAAAATCCAGCTACATCCCAGTGATCAGTTAATCTTTCTGTTTTGTGCTGTAAAATGGGGGCTGTCTTTTTCATGCAGAGATGTCATGGCAGAGGTTTCACAATCAATTTTTCACAAGCGTAGACTACAGAATGCATGCAGGCTCTTTTAGAGAAAGCATGGAGCTGTATCTGTGCTGTTCCAACACTCTGCTCTGATTGCAAGGATGAGTCTTTCGCAGTGAGGAACAACCCATTCACCAGCACACTAAGCTGTGGCATGCCAGACACTTCTACGCAACTGTTACAGTTAGGGGAGATTAGGAAAAAAAACCAAAAACCAAACACCTGCTAAAGATATTTGTTTCCTTTAACAAAATCAACCTGACATTTTTTTCACGTTTAAGTGTTGTTTTGGTTTTTTTTTTTTGGTGTACACACACCCACAAACCAGCTGCTGAGATGTGCCCTGTGAAGAAGGAACATGTTTCACACAGGCATAGAGCAGTTGTGGTGCTGCTGGTTGTGAAGGGAGAAGTGCAAAACTGGGTCTTTTTCACTGAAGTGCAAATCTGCAAATTTCCCATTTTCAGTAGTCAGTGATCAAAATGTGGCCCTTAAGGTTTCAGACATGCTGAAACCTCCTCCCCTCCTCTCCTCTCCTTTCCTCTCCTCTCCTCTCCTCTCCTCTCCTCTCCTCTCCTCTCCTCTCCTCTCCTCTCCTCTCCTCTCCTCTCCTCTCTCCTCTCCTCTCCAGAACTCCTCACTTTTCTAAACCACCCTTCCATGCTTTAAAGAAACCTTCACATGCTCCTTGAACATCTCATATGTTTTCTTCCTTACAGTCAAATTAGGTAATTATTAGCAGTGGTTGATATAAGCGGTGTCCTTGCAGAGCATAGTAGAATTTACTTCACTCAGTTTCCACAGCACCACCCCTTGCTCTGGATGTATCATCTCCAGAGCTTCTTCCTATTTTTATGAAACCTGGAAACAGCAAGTTCTTCTCCACCTTTCCTCTCATATCCTCTGCTGTGCAGGATTGTTTAATCTCCCTTGCTCATAGCACTAACAAGCTCACTGCATGCTGCCTGGCTGGTGCACATCTGGTGAAGGGGCACCAAATTTGTCAGAGGACTGGAGCTCACTCAGCACATACAAGGGGAGCCTGAGAGCTGGGTTTGTTCAGCCTTAAAAGGCTTGATGGGGAAAACAGAGCCTAACTCCTCTCAGAGGCAAATGGTGATGGGACAAGCAGCAACGGGCCCAAGGAAAATCACAATTTGATATGAAGAAAAAAGAAAAATCCTTCCCTGGAGATATTGAAAACTTGACTGGATAAGGCCCTGTGCAATCTGATACGGTTGGACCCACTTTGAGTGGAGGTTGAACTAGATGAACACTTCTGATTTAAGCTATTCTGTGATTCTATGCTTACTACTTCAAAAACTCTACATTGCCAGACCTCATTGGGAAAATGCCTAATTAGGAGCTGCAGCATAACAGACAATGGGACATATAGACACATTGTAATTGCATTTGCATTGTTGTCAGCACTGAAGCATATTCTATAGTAAATATGATAAAACAGCAAGTCCGATTTAAGAGGTTGTGTGGAATCATGAACCATATGAATGGAGCTTACTCATCACTGTGCCTCCTGCTGTTTTACCCAGTGGGGAGAACATGAGCACTTACTCTAGGCAAAAGAAAACTCATTCCTGTCCTGTAACAGTTGTGTCCCAGTTCGGACATTTTCTGTCTATGGTATTACATTATGCATTCTCTAGGGCTGTGCTTAAGGTTCACCACAACGTTACTGGTGGTTTTTAGAGTTTCAGGTTATTAAGACAGCAACAGTTTTTTTAATTCATACTTTACAATGCACTTCTTGCTTGTACTTTGGTTATTACTTTTCTGTGGCTCATAATAAATTTAGAAACTACATTGATAAGGTTTTTATGGTTAAAAAAAGCCTTAAGGAGCTATGCTGATATTAAAAAGAACTTCGTAAGATTAATATTGACATAAAAAGGCTTTCTATGAATTGCTGATATAAAAAGCCTCTGAGATTTTACAGAAAAAAATCCACCATGATGATATTTTAATGAACGTAACAGTAAAAGGCTCTGAACACAACAAACTGGCATTGATTTTTCTGCATTAATAGCCACAGTTACCTACATTCAGGATGTTCTTTTTTGAAAAAGCCATGCAGGGCTCAGTACACAGGAAAGACATTTTTTAATCTAGCACAAGGTAGACCTTGGTAGGCGGAACAGGCTGAGATCCATATGAGAAGCAAACAGTGGTAGAGCAGGTGTTGTCAGACTAACAGGGAACAAGAGCATGAAAAAGGCACCTGTGCCATGCTGAAAGCCAAGGGGGTCTCCAGGGAGGTATTCACTCATACCTGCTCAGGGTGATATCTGACCCTGGGAATAAGCAGCTGCCATTTACGCATCTTTGGATGCAGTAATAATCATTCACACCAGACACAAAAATCAGACAGTCATTCTTTCCTACAGAGTGCTGCTGGCAGCAGCAGGCTTGCAGAGATTGGCGTAAGTTCTGTCTGCTCTGATTCACCTGCCTGGGCTCCAGCCCTGCTTCTGTGGGCAAAGCACCACGGCTGCTGCACACAGACCCTGGGGAAGAGCTGGAAGTTCCAGTATCACTGGCAACTCTTGCACAGCCACCTGCATCTAAGACAAAATAAGGATGTAGGTTGGCTACCAACACCTATTTATGTCCTGTGTTGTATGGAGTAGTGGTAGGAATACAGCCAGAGAGATACACCTCCTATTTTTAACCCTTCTGTAGGCCACCTTTTGTGCATGGTGCCCTGCTTATATCCTTTCTGGATCACAGCCCTGCCCTGGTAGCTGCTTATTTTACTGTTTGGTTTTTAAGAGAGAGAGCAAAGGGAAAATGGCACTGAGCAGAGAACTACAAAACTGTCTACTGGCCTTGTAGAGAGAGAGGCAACTTGAAAAGATATCTTAATATTGTAGTGAACATTTATTAAAGGGAGATAATGAACATTAGCAGCAGAAATAATTTCCACTTTTTTACTCATAATTTCATTAGGAACTGGTATTCAGGCAGGACAAATGCCTTGGGTAAATCCCCATAACATTTCCTTTAATTTGTTTGTATTGCATGTTTTATTGCTCCAGATTTCTCATATACAAACACAGAGTGCTCAGAAAGCAATACAACTTGAAATAATGATTTAGCAGAATACTAATTGGTATACATACAAATATAATCATTCCATCAGCTTTAAAATATCAAAAAGAGGTTAGCAACAAGGTTAGTGACTTAGTTAATAGCTAATACAACAGGAGTAACAAAAGTAGGAAAATTTCTCACATCTGACTTTGTCCCAAACATTCCATCAATGAAAGCTATTTTCTTAATGATTAAAAAGCAAAATTAATGATCCGTGTTATTGAGGCAATATGAGCTTCTCAGTGGAGACTATTAATAGCTCCCAAGTCACCCCGGCCTCACACAGCACTTGCTAAACACCAACTGCCACAGGTCTCCTACTGCAAATTCATCACACTCCCTTGGAAAAGAGATGCTGCCTCCAAGTCTCACAGTTCTGTTAGTGAACAATCCCACTATGTGACAGACAGAGATGACAGTTTTGGTGTGCAGGAAACCCAAGGGGCAGTTCTGGGAGGCCTGGGCTGCCCCACTCAGCTGACCGACCCCTGCTCTGGAGTTCGAGCCCAGCCATCTCTGGCAGTGACCCCAGCAGGGCCCTTGCTGTCCCTGCTCCTTGGTGCAACAGGCTCCTTCCTGCAGCTCCTGGTGAGATGAGAAACTGTGTGCAGGATGATAGTGAGGGGCAATGCTGCCTGGTGGAAAAAGCAAGAATAGGACCTATTCTTGTCTGTGCCAATGGTCATTTGTTCACTTTTCTGTCACCAGACATTTATGACCCACTAAACGTAGCTAATTTTGTGAAGCCCTTTGAGGACCCTTGATAAAAGGGGTTCTAAAAGAACTAGATACGCAGCAATTTCAATCCCGTTTAAAAGGGAACAACCCAAGCCCCCCTTCCAGAGTCCTCACATCACGGTGTGCCTTGAATACTGATGTGCAGCCTTTCATGATGGCTCGCTCAATGTGTCGAATAAGTGAATAGGGCAGAACAAGGAAGTATTTTACTCATTATAAAAAATACAGTGACAAAGTACCATCCTCACGACAGCAGGAATGTGGTGGCCTTTAGATCTCACTAGTTTTCCCTGCAATGCTTTCTTTTACCTGCAGGCAGTTGGCAGGGTGAGGAAAGGCACCACATGGAAGAAAAATACATGAGATAATATTGCATCCATTCCTCTGACTGAGTGATATATACCGATGATGACCTTTTCCTAGCAGTGTTTACTGCAATAAAACAGATGGTGCACAGTTTCACACCGATCCAGCAGTTTCACCCACCTTCTGGACATGCCAGAAAAGGGAGGACTAAAGCTTGGCTTTGAATCCAGTAGAAGTCCGAGGTGTTGCCACCATCAGAAAATCAAATAAAGGGACATTCCTAGAAGAACACATCTGTTCTTCTGAATGAAGAAACATTCAGCTCCCTGTGAGTACAATCAACAAGGGCAGTTTTGAAAGGACATCTTTTGAAAAGATTTTTTTCTCCCTTAACAAACTCCTATGCACAAAAAGGTAATTTGACCCTAAGTGACTTCTAGGATAAATGAAAAACACAGTGTGAGAAGCAGCCAGTTGTATCCCACTGTATCTCTGCTGAAATCCTATGGCTTCTTAAGCATTTTAACATTTATCATACATTGTATTTTTGAGTTCCACGTTATACTTATCATTCCAAGATCTTTTTGTGCAATATAGATAGATTAAATGACAAAAGGTGTCTGAGAAAAATAGGAAATACAATTCAATAACGGCTAAACAGTTGCTGTAATTCTAAGCTATAAAGATAAAAATGGATAAATATTCAGGACTGTTAGGAGAGAGAGCTAAAATTGGAAGGAAAACATTTGCTTAGTTTTCAGGCATTAGCACTTCCATCCTTTCTGCAATACACAAAAGGTAGAGAAGGCTCCTAATGAGGCAGTATTGAAGTGACAAATCAGTGTTCTGCCATGCTCAAAATAAAATTACATAGAATCATAGAATAGTTAGGATTGGAAAGGACCTTCAGATCATCTAGTTCCAACCCCCCTGCCATGGGCAGGGACACCTCCCACTAAACCATGTCACCCAAGGCTCTGTCCAACCTGGTCTTGAACACTGCCAGGGATGGAACATTCACAAAACGTAACAGCAACAGTTCTTGATTGCACAAGCTCAATTTTGTAAACAATCATCAAGTCTTCCTTGTTGGGCCAGTTCTAAAGTCTGTTGTTTAACCTAATTATTGGGATGGAAGTGACTAAGTTGTGAGTGTAATCCAGATAACAGGGAAGTGTCCTGCCTACATAATGTAATTTTGTTGAAAACACTAAGTTCTTTGGGTAAATTGGTTCCATTTTGGATGACATGTGAAAATGTTCTTCTTTTCCCTCTCCCCAGGTAATTAAAATGTGAGGACAGACATAAATAACCTCTGAAGCACACATAAACTTCAACTCAAAAAAGTGGTGTTATCACTACTTGAGAAATTAATTTCTCATTTTCATAAAGACATGTATCACTGCCCCTGTATGGAAGCATGAAATGAGGAATTTAGTTTAGAATCAGCTCCATAACTCTGCTAACACTTTCAAGACATGTTGCAAATGGAATTATCTACAATAGCAAGACTATTTAAGTCATGTGACTGCATAATTAGGGTCTCTTCTGGTTCATCATTATGAATGACTAAATAAGATTAAAACATGACTTGATGCTATCTACTTTTTCTACTTTGTCGTCTGACATTTCTTGGTAACTGTTAATAGGACAGGTATAAAGAAGGAAACATTTTGTTCCCCTCTTCAGTAACAGCCATTGCAAAATTCCATTGCAAGTTGTTTTCCTTGGGCTTTGGAAAAAAAGAATCGAATTGATAATAAGTAATTTATTTCTGTGAACAGTAAAACCTTGGCTTTACAGGTGATAATAAACAAGTAAATATTTTCCTTTAGCAAGGAAAAGTTGAAACATGTGAGAATAATAGATTGAAACCTGACCATTACCAATGATGGTGAGTGGAGACTTTTTCCATAACAGAATAGTAGCAAAATCTCCAGACATGGGAAAATTGCTGAAGTTGTTTACAAGAACTTGTGAACATAGTGAGGGCATAAAAGACATATTGGCACTGAATAAGATACTGTCCTGGGTTCAGCAGTAGCAGTCATTTTTCTCCTTCTTAGTAGCTGGTAGTAGCAGAAACCAAAACCAGAAAACTAAGGCAAGTATCTTGACAGCAAGTCAGTGGTGTCCACCTAATGTCTGAGATCACTTTACTACTCGGAAGGTAAAAAAAGTAGATCTTCTGTTAAAACATTCAACTATGACATAGTTGCCATCACAGAAACACGGTGGAATGCTGATGAAGTGCTCACTGGGCCACTTTCCATCATCAGCAATCCTGGCTAAACGGAGAGAGTCCAGTGGACTGGAGGTTAAAAAAGATGACTCACATCTACAAGTAGAGATGGAAGAAGGATCCAGGGAACTACAGGGCTGTCAGCCTGACCTCAGTGTCTGGAAGGTTATGGAGCAGATTATCCTGAGTGCCATCACAGAGCATTTATGGGACAACCAGGTCAACAGACCCAGTCACCATGGGTTTATGAGAGGCAGGTCCTACCTGACTAGCCCAGTCTTCTTATATGACATGGTCACCAACTTAGTGGATGAGGGAATCTTGTCTACCTCAACTTTAGTAAAGCCATTGACATCATTTCCCAGAGCGTTCTCCTGGAGATACTGGGTGCTCATGGCTTGGACAGACATACGTTTTGCTACATGAAAAACTGTCTGGATGGCTGAGCCCATGGTGGTGAATGGAGTTAAATCCAGTTTGGCAGCTGGTCACGAAATGTTCACCATGGCTCAGTACTGGGGCCAATCCTGTTTAGTATCTTTATCAGTGATGTGAACAAGGAGATTGAGTGCACCCTCAGTAAGTTTGCAGATGACACCAAGTTGAGTGGGAATGTTGATCTGCTGGAGGGTAGGAAGGCTCTGCAGAGGGATCTGGACAGGCTGGATCAGTGGACCAAGGCCAATTGTATGAGGTTCAACAAGGCAAAGTGCCAGGTCCTGCACTTGGGCCACAACAACCCCATGCAATGCTACAGGCTTGGAGAAGAGCGGCTAGAAAGCCACCCTGGCAGAATAGGACCTGGGGATGCTGGCTGACAGCTGTCTGAACATGAGCCAGCTTGTGCCCTGGTAGCCAAGAAGACCAACAGTATCCTGGCTTGTGTCAGAAACAGTGTGGCCAGCAGGATGAGGGAAGAGATTGTCCCGCTCTACTCGGCACTGGTGGGGCTGCACCTCGAATGCTGTGTTCTGTTCTGCATCCCTCACTACATGGAAGAAACTGAAGTGCTGAAGCATGTCCAAAGAAGAGCAATGAAGCTGGCACAAGCCCTCTGTGGAGTGGCTGAAGGAGCTGGGGCTGTTGAGCCTGGAGAAAAGGAGGCACAGGGGAGACCTTATCACTGTCTACAGCTGCCTGAGAGGAGGTTGTAGTAAGGTGGGTGTCGATCTCGTCTTTCAAGAAACAAGTGATAGGACAAGAGATCTCCAGTTGTGCGAGGGGAAGCTTAGACTGCTTTAGATTTCTTCACCAAAAGGGTTGTCAAACATTGGAATAGGTTGCCTAGGGAAGTGCTTGAGTCTCCATCCCTGGAAGTATTTAAAAGAAGTATAGATGTGGCACTTAGGGACATGGTTTAGTGGTGGACTTGGCAGTGCTAGGTTAATGGTTGGATTCGATGATCTTGAAGATAATTTCCATAAAGAACCTAAATCATTCTGTGATTATATTCTATAACTCACTGCAGTGTTATCTTCATACAAGTACTGATATATACGTCTGGTGCCCATACATAGCTGTTTAAGGTTATATTGCTGTAAATATCTGTTATCATCTTAGTATAGTGAAGGTTGAGGTGCAGAAAGAAGACACATATCCGCCTTACTTGGTTTGTGCTATGACCACTCAGCCACATCCCATGTTCTTCCTCACTTGAAACAAAAACCACACTGGAGCAATTATGTGGTTTGCTTCTGAAAGTGCGAGGTGCATCAGAACAGAGCTGAAGTAGAATGGTCATTTTTAACTGAAGAGAAGTTTGTTAAAAATGCTCAGTTTTCAGCTTTTTATTTGGCAACTTCTGAAACTATTCTCTGCACATACATATTTTCCCTTAATTTTAACATCTGGAGTGAGCTGAGAAAGGTATCTGCCTCTGGCATCTACTACAGCAAGATGACTTACAAAATAAAATATTTATTAAACTAGGTTCACAATGATTTTTGCCTGTAACAATAGACTAATCACAGATTGCCCTAAGCAAAAACAAAACAAAACCCCACAAAAAACAAACACACACCCCCCTCCCCCCCAAAAAAAAAACAAAAAAAAAACAACTCCCAACCCCCCCCCCCCAAACAAACAAACAAACAAAAAAATCAACACCAAAGTCAAAACCAACAATTGTTTGGTTTGACCCCTCCTCATTAATAAATCCTTATGAGCTGTCAAGAGACACATTTTATTTCTGGACCCACAGAAATTATCTCAATAGTGATACATAATTCAGAGAGTTACAAAGACTCCCTAAAAATTCCCCCACATATTTATTCCATGCCTTGAGCCCCAGCAGGGCAAAAACCTGGGTAGAGAGAGCATTGGGGAACTAAGAAATTTAATGTATAAATC